GTCACACAAATTTGGAGAAGAGGTTTTGGCTAAAATTTGAAACGAGTTGTATTGAGACAACATTGATTGCCAGCTAGATACTAAATTCAGATAAAAGTAATAATCAAACATCATAGTAGCAAGTACAAAATCATCACATGTTAAGTAACTGATCTCTGGATCAATTAAACAAACCGATACAGGAGATCCAGTTTATTCAATGACCATTCTCGAAACAATTCAATCAGACAAATGCACACAGAGGCGGCGATATCGCACCACTTGTGATACATTACACACATAAGGCTGCAAGCTAGAGAGGAAGCAACTGCGTCGAAAAACGGGTTGAATAAAGTACCAACAAATACAAACAAGTACGTCTCGCATTATGATAAAATTGAGGAAACAGGTGTGGAAAGGCAATTCCCTGCGTTAAATTATCACTGAAACAAAAGTTAGACAGAGGCGAAACAAAACTTCCTTTTTTTACAAAACATAAAAAAGGAAATGGTGCAAAATCTTCAAACAATTAATAGCATCTTTACCAATTTCGATATCGCACTTTAAAGCTAAAAACGCGCTCTGCACATTCAAGCAAAAACCATGATTTGGAAAGTAAGCCGAAAAAATAAAACAAACGACAGCTCGACAATTCCATGATTAAAAAAAAAATCCCAGATCTTAAGATCCCACAGCACAACTTTACCACTAAATCAGATAACCCGGGCTTGGAGATAACAAAATTTCATAATGAGGCAAAATCTATTTCGTACAGATTTGTTATAAAATTGTTTTTCGGGAAAAAGTCTGTACCCGATTACAGGTAAACAAGCTCTCGCAATGCAATCATGAGCAGCAATGCAATCATGAACTAGACTCTACTGGTTCTGCTGTTAAGAGTCTTTTCATATACTTAGAGAAAGAAAAACAGAAATAGACCTCACACGAGCCCAAACAATTCCGAAAAACTATATACATGAAAACTTAACTTATTTAAAAAACAAAAAAGCACATTGTAGAGATCCATAGAATCTACGAGAACAAGTAATTACATATCAAATCTGCTAAGAGATGCATATACAATTTAGATCAAATTTAGAATGAATTAGTTTGAGGAAGCAATTAACGCCACTCGAATACCTTCGATTCAGATTAAAACAACTATCAATTATTATAGTTGCAAGTACATTTTGCAAGTATAGCTGCATCAATTATTATAGTATCTGGAAAAAGATATTACGTCAAAAAATATGGAAAAAAAACAAGAAAAATCTAGTTCAGAAACACAGCAACAAAGAGCTGGAAAATAGTCAATAAACGCAAAAAAAAAACTTATAAAAATACTTAACTGTTTCAATTTTCCCGAAAAAAAAAAACGATTTCTAGAACAGTTTATGATTGACAATTTTTTGGAATTATTAACCAATTCGAGAAAACTAGATAAATAAGTAAAATTTTTATTTCGCTGGGAGATCTAAAAAAATCCACTTTCCAAACTAGACACTTTCCATGCACGATAGCGGAGTTTGCCTTCCTTTTAGCAAAAGAAAATAACCGAAGTGAAAAAGAAATAAAAAACTAAACCGCGAAGAAATAAATTTGAGCCTGAACAAAATTTAAAAGTTTTCCTGAAAATAAAAAAAAATCATCGCGACCTATATAAAAGTGTGAACAACGTTCATCGACTCTTAAAAACCGTTTGCTGTGTTAGACAGAAACTCCAGCCAAACACCAGGCTGTGTAAGACAGAAACTCCAGCCAAACGAAAAATGTATAGAAAATGCAATAGAAAAAAAATCGAAAACAAGGACATTTAATAAAGGAACAAAAACAAAAAAATACGTGTTATCAGGGGCTGAATAACCCAAACCAACTGCCTTACAAGATGTAGCATATAAAATTATTTAAGGCAACTTTCAAATTATGACACAGAGCGAAACTGCGCTTCGCACCACTTGCGATACAAAAGCAGAAAGACGCTAAGTCGGAGAAAAACTTTATGAAAACTTTATGTCAAAAAAAACAGATCTACCAAAATGAATCAAGCTAGCTTGGAAACAAAAGCATACCAAGACAATCGAATGTGAAAATCGCATCAAAAAATTCTAATAAGCATTATAATAGGTTAATAATTTCCCCTCACTCTCAAAACACACACAAACTTATTTGATCGTCCAATAAAACAATGAGGTCATTAAACCGTTATAAAGGCCGAAAACTATCCAGTCGAAAAAAATGCTGTCATGAAAAACTTGAGCAACAATTGCTATTAAGACTTCAGATATTCGGGCGATCCAGAAAGAATACAATTTTTTCGCTTGATGAGAGACGCAATACGAGGCAATTAAAACGATTTAATTAAGACTGAAACCTATCAACCCGAGCATAAGTGAGCATTAAAAATATGTTTCCATTCAAACAATTCATAATTAGGCCACTAAGCCGATAAAGTATACGCCGAAATCATTTGGGTAGAGTTTTTAAGCAAAAAAAAAACGAAAACATACGATAATAAAAAATTATAAACAGTAGAAGTAAATCAAAACTATATTGTAAATAGCATTCAGCAAAAAAAACAATAATACGAGGTGGCAACTAAGCCGACATAACAAAAGCAGACAAATAAAAATAGGACAATATTTTTTGAAACGACACATTTCGTTTGAAAAAAAAAACAAGTCCTGTCAGATTTGAACCTTGGACCTTTGCCGTCATATGCGTATTCATTACTTCCAGACAAAGTAAGACAGAGAGGCAAAGAAAAGTGATTTCACAATAAACTAAACTTAAATTTTCCATTTCCAGTTTTGACCATTCTGTGAACAAATTTAGTTACGGGAAAAAGTCTAGTAACCAATTGCAATACCCTTGCTTATCGCAAAAGTAACAACAATCATTCGTGAAAGACTGTCAAAAACTAGGCTACTAATGCTGACATAATTTAATACTTTTGGGGCGGAATACATAAAAATTATCATTTTCGTTGATTTATCTTTCTTTGGACGGACAGGGTGTACTTCCGCTTTCACCGAACTGCATGTTTTTCACAGAGGCGAAGCGGACCTTCCCACTACTTGCGATACAACACAATCATACAAAAAGCATCAGCCGAAAAAAATCAAAAATGTTGAAAAAAAAATTTGGTGAACCAAAATTCTCGCATGTTTCGATGAAGGACACCTAGGACCCAGCTAAAGCTGGAGGTACTTGTTTGAAAATTTTGAATTTGTTATATTGATACAGGGCGAAATGCGCAATTGCAAAAATTGGACTTTGTCAAAAATCTTAGTTGTTTTTTTTGCCAAATTAAGTAAGAAGAAAGAAAGTTTTTGAGATATTGGAATTTTCCCAAGGACATAATATTTCTCTCACAAAAAACACGCCGCTCCTGCTGGAAAAAATCTCTTAACCAAATCTTTCGACCAAGTTTCCACCTCGTATTGATGGGTAGTTTTTAAGAAAATTTGGAAAGTTTCTATAAAACGGACAAAATTCAAAAATTTGGTTTTCCAAAATCCATAACTTTTCTCCTGCTTAAAGCAGGTCGTGACTGGTAAAGTAAAGAAGATTGAAAGCTCGACAATTAGATTCAAAGCTTTTAGTTTTTAAATAAATTGGGCGTAGCAGAAAAAATTCACGCAAGTTGTAATTTCGACTGAACCCAAAAACCTAGGTTTTGCAAAGTAATTCTCGAAAACATTAAAAACACGGTCAAAAACCAAAACTTTGACTTTTCCGATGGTGATAATTTTTTGTAAAAAATTTTTGAGCGTCGTATTGTATCCAAAGAAGCTTCCCACAACCCGTTCTCTGAATTGAACCCAAAATCTATGATATGGGAGAGTATACTTTGATTAAATTCATAAAATTTTGAAAAAACGCTCAAAACTTTTTGAAGGCAAAAAACTTTTTTGTAGGAAATTTGTGGAAGGCCGCTCATGCAGAGAGCATCCTACTACCGGCTACCTCCATTCAACCCAAATTCAAGTTTGGGAGGTTAGTTTTCGAGAAACGTTTAAACAGATTCAAAAAACGGTCAAAAAAACAAAAACTTGACTTTTCCGAGGGCCATAATCTTATGTGGAACAAAAATTAGGCATAAGCGCTTATGGGAGAGAGCATTTCAACTCCAATCTAATCATTGAAACCAAAATCTCAGATTTGGTAAGATAAAGAGAAAACGAAAGTAAAATGTTGAGAAAACGAAAAAAAAAGTCAACAATATCGGCCAAACATTCCCCCCACTGACTTTTTCGAAGGCTGTAGACAAAGGAATAAAGCAAAAGAGACTAGGGGACTATGCAGGCGCTATTCCTATGGATACCCCATTTTTGAAAATCGGTAGAAGGGTTTTTGAGAATTTTTTTTTTTGCAAAAAGTGATAAAACTTTTCGAAAACGCCTCAAAAAAATCAAAATAAAAAACCCAATCCCATACACTTTCATAATTCCTTTTTTTATCAAACAATAATTCTCGATTTTAAATTCAAATTAGCAACTGAAAAAAACTTACGAAGCGGAAACAAGGCCGACAATCTTTGAGCAGACACCAGTTGATCCGAAAAAAAAATGATTTTGTAAAAAAAAGTCCTCCCTGAAACTACCCTGTAGTAACTAATACCCACTCAGTAGTTAACTTTGTATTTTCATGCAATTGAGCCTGTCAGCTGTGATTCAACTATAATTCAACATAAATGATTCAACTGATTTTGTTAAACTAGTTGTGAACTCGAAAAAAAGTTAACATTCCGATTTGATAACGCTTACTAATCGCAAGCGTAAAAAATGTCAAAACATTTCTGCATAATATTATGAACTAATTCGGGAAAAACATGAAGAACAAATATGTTCAGAATAATTAATTTTTTTCCCGAAGCCAGATTTAATTACATTCTAACACTACAATAATTTTCCGAATTGACAGTCAAATGTGAGAAAAATTTGAGAAGAGCCCCAAGTATATATTTTTAAATAATTCTCAGGTATATTTATTTTATTAACTTCTTAGGTTGAAAATCTTACTATTCCATTTCTTCTGTCTGAGCCGATAGAAACAAGCTTGGGCATGCTCCAAAGTGTCAAAAACAGCTTCTAGCTGGTACTCATTAGATGACTTGCTGGGTTTCTCCAACAGATCCCATTGCTCGAGACCTGGAAAAGAACTATACAAGGGGAATAGAAGAAAATGAGAAACTTTATCACGGAAACAGCATTGGAAAGTACCTAATCAGACTTTTGACGCAAAATTGATGAGTAGACGCTACGAATCCTCCAACAATAACTGTGCGTCCAGGAACACGCATTTTCAAATGTCATAAGAGATTTCTAAAAACAATCAAGTCAAATTAGACACGAAATAACATACTGCAGCAGAACAACAATGAAGGTAATCAGAAGGTCAAAAGTATCATAGTAACCGAGGTTACAGTCATGAGTCCCTTCATCATGTATTCCAGTCAAAATCCTTGGAATTTTTTAGATATGGAAGTGATAATGATAAAAGAAGATGACAAGTGTTTAGGTCCTTTTCAATTAAAATCGATACGGGTTACATTTCTTCAATAAGAACACGCAACTCGACACGAGATAATATAATATACAAATGTTACAAGTAAAAAATTTCGTCGAAAGTTATTTTGTCATTTATTGTTCCGAGTACGCAAGCGGCGTTCGCAATCTGTATTGCCAGGGAGATTCTCTGTTTTAAAAAGCTGCCTGCTCTGGGTTCCTCAGTGCATATGCTTAGATTCTTACAAAGTTTGCTCAAAAAAACTTCTGTGCTGGGGCCGGCCGCGCCCTGAATTTCAAAAGCTAGCGGTTGAAAAAGATATCCATCATTTACAAGATCTTTATACTTGTCAATTTTTCGCTCTTCCGCTTCAGCGGCAGCCGTACCAGGGTTACAAACAGACCCCGCATTAATCCTACAAGGAGCTAAGGAGTCTACTACCGTTACATCCCACAAGAGCTGCTTACCATCAGCCCATGGAACGAGCGTCAAACCGTCTGGTCGCTTCTGATCGGTCCTGTAGAGGTGTCGTGGTTCTAAAACAGACGGAATGTGAGTAGATGATAGACTCTGCTTTATAAGGGCATTCAGGTTTGAATGCCAAGAGTCTCCCTGCACTTTTGAGGCAAGAAAGACCATGCCAACCATCCGCGGTAACGTCTTTTCCGCACACGCATTTATGCCGTTCGCATATTTTTGATCCTAATCGAAGTCCTATCGCAATTCTGAGTTGTTGGTGCGACAGTTTTAACCTTAAATTTCTGCAAGGGATGACGTTCAACCATTGGGAGCCAAATCTATCTTGAAACGCGTTGAACCTTTTTACGTCCGTTGGTTCGAGTCGTAAAATCAAGTCTGCAATTTCGCTGTCAAAAATTGGCTCCGTCCAATTTTTTTGGATTTCATTTTCCGGAGCCATTTCAATTTTTCCAAGGTCAAACCACCGTTTAAGCGCATCATCATAGGTTCCATCCACATGCTCCAAACCAAAGATTTCGCTCAAGGCATCTTTGGCTCCTACTGCTGAGGCTAAGAAAGCGGGTAAAGCGAGTAGACGAGCGGAAGAAACGCCCAAGCCACCTTTGGCTGCCGGGAGAACTGCTTGTAAAAACTGGTTATCATCCATTTTCACGTTAGTGACCTTGCATAACGAATTTCTTAGTAATTTATCGTAGCGTTCCAAAAAATCATTTTGCAAAAAACAAGGGCTCGTACGCAAAAAATATAGGAGTTTTGGCATGCTAAAGCAATTTTTCAGGAGGTAAAAGCCATAATGGGCGTCTAGTTTGTCAATGACATCCGAGATTTTTTCAAGCTCCTTAATTTTTTCGTCGAGCAATTCTTTTCGGCAAAGTTCGCCGATTGGAGATCCTAAAATGAGGAGTTCTTCTTTTGTTTTTATTTTTATTTTGGGGCATATTTTTCGAAATTGTGTTAAAATTGAATTATACTGTGTACTAGTAGTCGGTCCCAAAAAACAAAGTTCACACTTCTCAGTGTTTAAGCCGGTGTAACACCAGCATTGAAGACTGCCATCATCTGTTCAACGGTCTGGCCAATCCAATATGGTGGGTATTCACAAGTACCACGAACAACAATTAGTAGTAGTACTAGTTATCAGTTCCTAGCCCAAGCAACAAGAAAATCACCCCTGCAACCACCTTTGGTACTTTGAACCACAGAGCACCGACAGAGACGACACTACATGACAGTTCAAGCAAAACAGTCACAAGACTCCTCAACGACATTCTTGAACAGACACTGAAACACCTCCACACGCATAGAGTCACCAAAGAGAGAGCCAACAGAACATAGTTTTGAAAACACCCACACCTGAGATTTTGAAAGACGAAGAAACGTTAGTCGTTACAACAGAAGAATACTGTGTCAACTAAGATCAGGTTTCTCCGGAAAACTAAAACTAGCCGAAACCAGGCACAGACTACAGCCGAACTTTGAAACAGAGCTCGGCAGCCGGTGCAACACCAGCATTGAAGACTGCCATCATCTGTTCAACGGTCTGGCCAATCCAATATGGTGGGTATTCACAAGTACCAAAATGATAAATCAGTCCCATATGTATCAAAATAAAAAATCAATCGAGTTAGTACCACAAATATTCAATTTTTTTCTTTTTTAAGGGTAATCAGAAGGTCAAAAGTATCATAGTAACCGAGGTTACAGTCAGGAGTCTCTTCATCACGTATTCCAATCAAAATCCTTGGAATTTTCTAGATATGGAAGTGATAATGATAAAAAAAAGAAGACAAGTGTTGATGTCCATATAATTAAAATCGATACGGGTTACGTTTCTTCAATAAGAACACGCAACTCGACACGAGAAAATATAATATACAAGAAATTTTTGTTAAAAAGTAATATTCAAACGTTTTCGCAACTATGTGCATCGTCAGGATTTTTACAATAAACTAATCTAAATGACGATAAAACATCAATTTACAAATGTTATTTACAATAATTCACATACAATTTGGTTCTGAGTCATAATTTCGATTTAGACAAGTACGTTTTAAATAAAAAAGCAAAAATATTTTGGGACTAAATTTTCAGTGTCAACTCCCTGCTCCTAAACTCATCGCGCGTGTTCAAGCCCGGTTTCTCTTTCTTGATATGTATTGCCTACAGTGTTAACAATGTGTTTGGTTGTTTGACCTTTCTATAATTTCCCAACTAAGATCTGCGTTACAAGTCATGCAAATATACAAGTGTTACAAATACAAGTGTTACAAATAAAAAATTTCGTCGTAAGTGATTTGGTCATTTATTGTTCCGAGTACGCAAGCGGCGTTCGCAATCTGTATTGCCAGGGAGATTCTCTGTTTTAAAAAGCTGCCTACTGTGGGTTCCTCAGTGCATATGCTTAGTTTCTTACAAAAATTGCTCAAAATTTTTGTGCTGGGGCCGGCAGCGTCCTGAATCTCAAAAGCTAGCGGTTGAAAAAGATTTAAATCATCTACTAGATCTTTATACTGATCATTTTTTCGCTCTTCCGCTTCAGCGGCAGCCGTACCAGGGTTAAAAGCAGACCCGGTACTGATCCTACTAGGAGCTAAGGAGTCTACTGCCGTTACATCCCACAAGAGCTGCTTACCAACAGCCCATGGAACAAATGTCAAACCGTCTGGTCGCTTCTGATCTGTCCTGTAGAGGTGTCGTGGTTCTAAAACAGACGGAATGTGAGCAGAAGATAAACTTTGCTTTATAAGGGCATTCAGGTTTGAATGCCTACCCGCACTGACCAAAAGGGATTAGGATCAATTTTAGTATGAAAAAAGTACGTTGAGTAAATTTTGATCGATTTTAGCCTGAAAAAAGTAGAAGAATAAAAAAAAAAGTTGAAGATTGATTTGGATTGATTTAAAAGTGATGTCAATTGATTTTAAATCCCAACTAAAAAAATTGATCCAAATTGATTTTAAATCAATTCAAAAACAATTTTTCTAGTCTGAATTTGTTTTTACTTTTAAGGGTATTAAAACGGACTTAAATCAATTCAAATCGATTTTTTTCATTCGATTTTTATCAGTTTCAAATTTTTATTGCATTTATTTTGTGCCTATCATTTTTCATTCAATATCCATAGCGTATTGTAGCAAAAAACGACGACCAAATGAAATGACCAAAACATCGATAAAACATGATTTTATAGCATATTATTGAGATCACAATTTGTTTTTACCTGACCCTTTTCTGGTTTGTTACAGAAGATTTTGCCCAAGATCCGATTTACAGTTTTTTAGATTTGTTACATATTTTAATGCACAAAATCTTATTGGTAATAACGATTTTTTAGGTTTTCGTTGCATATTTTTGAGCTCAAAATCTGAATCATATTTTTATTTATTTCATGAATTTTAAAACATCTGGCACGTGTATTTTCATTAAAATCAAAAAATCAAGAAAAAATATTTCAATTAAATTTCTAAAAAGCGTGTTTTTTTTGCTTTGTTTGCAAAAAAAATCGATTTTTGTTGTGTCGGAAAATCCATCGAAATCGATTTAAATCGATTTTTTAGACTCTTAAATCGATTTAGAATTCAGAAAGATCAAATTAAATCGATTTAAAATGGGACTTAAGTGAGATTCTGATGGATTTAAGTGAGATTCGGATGGATTTTAGTGAGTCGTAAAATCCATCGAAATCGATTTCACTCGATTTTTTAGAACTTGAATCGATTTAAAATTTTCAAAACGATCAATTTAAATTGGTTTAAAGACAATTTAAGTTCGTAAAATGTACATGATTAATTGATTTCGATCGATTTAAAATCGATTCAAAATCAGTTCAAATCGACAGGAAACCATTTCTGTCAGTGCGGGTAGAGAATTTCCATGCCAACCATGCCAACCATCTTCGGTAACGTCTTTTTCGCACACTCACTTATGCCGTTCGCATTTTTTTGAGTGAGCCTAATCGAAGTCTTATTGCAATTCTGAGTTGTTGGTTCGACAGTTTTAAACTTAAATTTTTGCACGGGATGACATTAATTTCTCTAAGCCCACACGCATAATGGGTTGATTCAGCCCCAATTTCATCGCGAATTGCGAGCCGTGTCTGTGAATCGCATCCCAAGTCCTTTTCATGAAGGTCACTCGGGTCCACACAACTCCCGTTTTCTTTTCAAATTCTAACTGATATTGATCTCAGTCCTCTTCTGTGAACGTGCTCTTGAAGGAGACTCTCATTGTTTCATCAAACTTCCTCCTTCGAGGTGACACACAGAGCATCTCTGTGCACTCCTCCTGTGAGACCTTTGAGCCAGGAAAACCGGTCCCGCTGGAGATAAGCTTGGGAAAA